TCACTTTTTAGAGGAAAGGAAGATTATACCTGTTACATATAGTAGAGTCAGAACTATGGCTTCCAAGTTTTTCTAGTTATATTGCATTGAGACCCAGTTAAGAAGTTTCTTAACTTCTTTTTCCAGTATGAAAATAATTTTAAAAACTAATTCAATGGGAGAAGGGTGCTCATTTTAATGGTATTCCAATAGATTTTACAATTTTAAAATAAAATCGCCCAAATCAAGTACAAGTATTGGAAACAGATACAAGGTACAAAGAAAACGAGAAGAAATGAGATAGTTTTTTGAACATCTTAAACATAAGTGACTTTGTTTTCCCCAATGTTTACCATCTTCTTATAACAACCATTTTCCAAATTTATACACTTAAATATACTAATATATAAATATATATTAGCAAGAGAACATAAATTAATAAAGTATTTTTAATAAAAATAACCAAATTGTTTTCATCAAAATGGGATGTCTCTCTTAATGCTCTATGCTTATCTATAAAACTCCCACATGCTATTCTTGAGGAGAAATGTTCTTTTCTTCTAAACTTGGACTTGTTTATATTCTTGTGATTGCCAGCGCTTACCACAGCAACTGGACCATAGTAAAATTCATACATTTTCAATAAGTTATATTAATAAGGTGTTTTTGTTGTTATGGTACTTAGTACCAATGCCATTTTCTTACTATTTTTACTAATACATTATTTATTTATTGACTGCAAAGTACTTTCTAAATATAATATAATATCCAAACCACCATCATAAAGCAGTAAGCATGTATTATTTATGTTGACTTAAAAGTTGTAAACATAGAAGCATTATTGATAATTTCAAAAGGCGTCCTTATTCTTCCCAACACTCTACCATGAAGCAACCTACATTGAATCATCAGCCACTGCAGTAGAGAATACACTAACCACAGAAGAGCGATAGCAAAGTTCCATTCACCCAGGGCTTTTTTGTGGTCCTGGGTGACTCCACACAGATGAATTCCAATCAAAAGATCACCACTGAAGGAACAAAACAAGTAATCCAGCTGAGAGCTATGCCAGGAGGTCCCCGTATCTGAAATTCTCTCCCTAAACCAAACAGCTAAATTGAATACTCTTTCTCCTGAAAATTATATCCATGATCAATTTTTCAGCATGCTTCCCTATCGTGATCAGAGAATGCACTAAATAAATGGACTTCATGGCCTTCATTTTATCAAATTTGATGATAACATTTCTTTTAGCCTTATAGTCCATCAACCACATTTATTGAAAACTGACTCTCTGCTTATTGCTTTCTAGGCACACATTGCTACTGCGAGTCTGTTTAACAGGTTCTTTATGAAAAGGCTGTTACCAGTCAGTGTAGCAGACGTAAGCAGTCGCTATTGATAAAATATATTCTGGTCTTACTAAAGATGAAAAGCCAGACTTTCTTTTCAAAGTCATGACCTATTAGGAAGACTTTAGATAGATAGATAGACAGACAGACAGACAGATATGCATGACAGTATCTGGCAGTTCATGTTCTATAGCTCCCAGCTCTACTACCTCTATCTAATTCATCTGGAATGAATCTATGAAATGACTTGCATTATTCATGCAGTTGTTATTCACACAACGTATAGTTTTTACTTATACAAATCACTTTGCTTACAGCAGAAAGATATGAAAATCATGTGTTCTAGGTTTAAATGGCATCAGGATGGACCAGTGAAGACACTGGAGTCATTTCCTCCTTTGCCTTCATGAGGAATAATTACATGTTGGTCTAAACAGACAGCCTGTTACAATCTCTGTCTGCGGCCCCCCTTCTGTGCTCGTCAGTGTCTGGCAAGCGCTTAGGGGACCACTGACCTGTGTTTCCACCCACCAATAAATACAAATGTATGTATATATAAGGGGTGAGGGTGCCACTTTAATAAAGGAACAATGCTAGAAAATAGCCTGGATCCTCTCTCTCAATGCTACTATGGTATAAAAATGTCTTTTTATCTTCCTTTTAGAGCTTTGCCTTCCACGCCTGCCTGATACCATTCAGCACAATATGGAGCATGGAAAGTGAATGGTTAACAAACCCCTAAGTCTGACAAACAACTGAGGCAGCTCAGGGACTCCATTATATCTGCACAGATGATGGGTCATAGGTGAACATGGCAAAATCTTACCTCACTTTAACTTTTTGCATTAAAAAAAAAGCCCTTAAGCACATGCAGACACACACAATTGCAGCACAGAACTTAAGCAACAGTATGTTACTGGTAACTTTGGAACCCCCGGTGCACCCTTCCTTTCTAAAACATGCAAACCTATCCCCAGGGGTAACTACCATCTGATGTTTGTGTCAAAACATTTGTGTCAAACTGTTGAGTTTTGCCAAAGAGATAAATTTTCCAGTCAAAACAATTAATTAGAAGCTGTTAATGACGCCTTCAAGATTTCAGAAAACACTTAAAGAGAAGAGAGGAATGGAAAGAAAAAAACAAGCAAATATTCCCCAAACTGAGATGCAGGAGATGAGCCAGTATGTTGATCTCAGTTTGGGAAGGTTGCCTTGAATTCCTTAACTTTGTGCAATCATTCCTCCAACTCTAAATCACTCAATGAACACACCACAGGGAGACTTCAGATTTATGAAGGACTTAAACCTCAAACACCAATTTTGCCTCTCTTCTTTATGTACTTAGTCCTCATAATATTTTATTCTTATTACCAGAAATAGTTGGGGTGCTGAAAATCACCAGCACTGAAAGAGGCCTAGTAGATCTATCTGGTTTAGTCAGCTACAGACCATTTGGTAATCATTAGGTGAGGAAGTTCATTGGTAAAACACTTAAACCCCTGAGTCATAAATTATTGGAGAAAAAACTGCTCAGCTTCTTTTAGACCAAGTCTATCTATCTATCTATCTATCTATCTATCTATCTATCTATGGACAGACACTACCTATCTAATGGTGGTGCCCAGATGTTAGCATGGGATTTATGATTTGGATAGATTAGCACTAAAAACACTTAGGTCAGACAAGCCAATACCTGTATCGAATCCCGAGCATTCCATGGGTACACGACCACAAACTCTATTGCAAACCCATCAGCACCTGGCTACTCTGCAAGTGAATGTTGGTTATGGAGAAATCAGGGGAAACGAGACCGCTGTGTTGCAGAGTACACTCCTCACCACATCTAAAAAAAAACAATCCAAGGTCGTACTCTATTGGTGGCAGGTCCACAATGTCCACCTTTACCGTGAAGGGCAGCACGGTACCTGTTGGCAGACAAAGGCCTCCGACTGACAGTCAGGGACTGATGGCGAAGCGGGTACCATCTCCGGGCAGTTGTCCACGCCATCCTCAGAAAAAGGGTTCAGCAGCACTCTGGTTTCTGCCCTGTGGTTTCTTAGAGACTTCTCTAGAAAATATTCTCTTATCTCACTGGAACGTCTCCAGACCAAAATATACGTGTTTACACATCCTTCACACACGGGCAGGATCGATAGAAGCAATCAGGGATGGTGCCTGAACCAACCAGACTTTGAATTCCTTACCTCCTGTTTCTCAAAAGCTGGCTGTACGTTTGTTTCATTCTTCAACAAAAGCAAAAGCTTCAATCTGAAGCCTCTGTGACTAAATTAAAAAAATAAATAAACAAATCTAGCTGCTCTAAAATAAATGGACAAGACTGCGGTGACTGTGGGGACTGGGGGTGAGGGCATGGGGGATAAATGGTAATGAAAATACAATGAAAAATGAATAACATAACAGCAGAGTTATATATCCTTTCTATGATCAAATCCTTTGTGATTATCCCCTGGAAAAATAATCTCAGATGCTCAAATAAATGTTTTAGGAGCCAATAATTAAAAAATGGATTGCTATGAATTTTACCAGTAGTGATCAGAGAAACACTTTTAAGAGTATACATGAACTTTACACCAAGATGTAAATACTGAAAAGAGTAAAGTAGGGAGAAAAAAAAGCGTGGTAAAATAGGATCAATAGTTACAAGAAACGTGGGGATCTTTGGCATAGTTCTGCAATAAAAAAGTTGAGTTTGGCAATAATCTTTGTACAAATCGGACCTTTTTTGGATGACATAATACAGATTCCTGTTATGCATTACTGTGACCTCTTAAATTACTTTACCTCTTAAATTTACCTCTTAAATTACTCATCTTTCATATTATTTGTTGGACTGACCTCATAAATGGCAAAACCCATCTCCTAAGAGCCCTGGAATGTCAAGAAAGAATTTAAACGAAGGCAGATATCCTCTGCACAGGAAACGGTCAATGCTAAAAAGACTGCAGTGGAGAAATACCCCTTGCATTCAAGGTGTACAGACATCCTCAAGGAGAGATACATACAACCCTGGACTAGGGATTTATCTTCCTCATAAACCCAACATAATAGGTGGCATTGAATTACAAAGCTAATGGACAACAAAAGGAATTCTCTGCCAGGATCTATCCTTTGTACTCATCAATCCTCCCTAATCCGGTTCCACGGGTGTCAGCAAAAGGTTCATGATGAAGGAACTCGGCCACTTTGACAAGGGCGATAAAGGAGCAGAAATTCGGGGTGGCCATAGTGGGACCAACAACCGGTCCCCACCTGCAGGCTTTGTGAAGACTGGCACCCTGTGACTTCCTAGGGGATTATAACCCCCAGGTGGACTGGTTCATGAGTATTTATCCTCCTTAAAACGGATCAGAAATGCCAAGTGGTCTTGGTTACAAGTCACCTGATTTTGCACCATTTCTGATAAAAGCTTCCCTGCTGTACTGCTGATAAATATTGACATTATGTTCTAAGTCACAGGGAACAACCTGAAATCCTGTCTTCTCTCACACTAAGCACGAAGAAAAAATCAGCATTAAGCTTTGACATTTAGCTTATTTCTCTAAGAGCAAGAACCGCCGCAAGTGAGAATTTTCACCTTGAATTTCTCTGAAACAGTCATTTTATAAATAGAGCGAAAGCAGAAGACCAATTAGAGAGATTTCCAATTACCTTGGAAACGCGGTTCGCAACTTCTCGTCCCACGGTCAGCCCCTGGACAAATGTTCGGGCAGCGATGAAGGCGCGGGTGACTTGAATTTTCAGTTTCCGGGGCACATCTCCAAACGGCTTCAGCTGGTCCGTGTATTTGCTCACGCATTCCAGGTAGTCCTCGCTGAAGTGATACTGCGGGTTGATCAGCTGAAACATCCGCTCCAGGAGCCGCGCCCAGAAGTCATTGAGCATCTCCTCCAGGTTCACGTTGCCCCCCGTGTAGTACCTTTTCAGCTCCGTGAAGAGGTCCTGGAACACCTCCGAATTCTGCATGTACAGCATGCCATAGGTCCGCACAAACATATCGTTGAGGGACTTTTCTGCATTTTCTAGGAGCTCTCGGAAAAATTCTGCAAATAAATCAGGAAAGTAGTAAAAAATTAGTAAGACTCTAAAGCCCAGGGCACCTACATACCTTAAGAAACTGATTTAATGGTCATTTTCATAGAAAAATGTAATCTTTGACTAAGGTATCAATAAACTGATGATAACAATATTTTAAATGAGATTTGCCCTACATCTATAATCCCCAAGTCAAAGAAAATATGTTATTTATGTTTGAAAGAACATCCACTATTATTAGAAATTTGCCATCTGCTATTCCTCCATAGTTGCTCAATTCCCTGTTCATTTACTGTTAAATTTTAGAAAATCCTATATTTTGACATAAAGTAAAAAAAATATAATGTAAAATGTTGTCATTAGGAGCACCAAATGCATACTAATAAAAAAGTTTGCTCCACCTTATTTACAAAATGGTTGTAAAACTAAATTTAATTAATCTGCTTTTATTTGGAAGAGTTTATAAGTGGGATATTCAAATTATCACAATATTTTGGACTTTTTATAGTTGCTATATATAGCAATCAATTATCAGTGTTCAGAGATTTATAATGCAATTAGATTTACTTAATACCTCAAGTATAATGAACATAATTTAGTTTACCATAATAAATAAAAATTATGAAATATGCTGCATTATCATTGTAAATATAAACTATCATTTGAAAAAATTTGGACAAAATATAGACAATTGGGCTTTCTGGTTGAGAGGTTCTAAATTGAAAAGACTAACCAAAAAATAAACTCTTCTGCCCTCAACAACACTTGAGTGTTACTTGAAACAATGGTGTATGTAAATAATAAGAATTCATGTCCCTCATTACTGTTAGTCTTATTGGCCCCCATATTAGGTTCCCTCCAGAAAAAGTGCTTGTGGTCAGGACATCTATCAATGTGCACAAATGAACCTGGATGGAGTGAGCTCATTTTATTCCACATGGAGAATGTGATTTGGGATGGCTAAAGAAAGATAAGGCTGCCGAGTTTCCAAATCCAAGTTCAGGTGAGCAGTTCTGCTTTACCTCTCATGGTTCCCTGCTATTTCCTGAAGCTATGTCCCCTCGTAGCTCAAGCAGGGACAAATCGAGTTTTGGACACTTCAAGAAATCTAAGTTGAAAAAGAAAAACTTCAAACCAAACAATAATTTGTCTTTCTGGAACCCTCAGGGGATTTTTCCGGAGACACAAAGGAAAATGCTATCAACCACTACACCCATTATATGGAAGCTAATATGTCAATTCTGCTTAACCAGAAGTTTCTTGAAGAACTTGAGTTAGCTACTGCAATTCAGAATAATATAGTATTAAATCATTGCCTTGTTACAGTGTCTATAATAATGATGGGTTATTTAACATTTGTTAACAAATAAAACCAAAACACCAAAACTAAAACTAAAAATAAAAAGGGACTCTGTTCACATGTTTACCCTTTTACCATGAAGAATATACTGTCCTAAGCAAAGAAAATCTGTTGGTACAGTGGACAGATGCACTGAGGGATGATCTAAAGGTCATGGTTTATAAACCCAAGGACCAAATATTTCTTCTTTTAGTTTTTCTTAAATGTAAAATCATGCTAAATATCATTAAACATCCCCAAGCATAAATGACTCAGTAAGAAAAATCAGTGTTGAAGCAGATAGGGACAAACTTCCTAAATTTTTAAAGGATCAATTAATCAAAATATTTACATATGCTTTACATTGATGTCACTTATGATTTTATGACTTTATGAGACTTCAAGATTTTTTTCAGAAATACTAGTCATTTGTTTTTTCTATAATAGAAAATATATTAAATTATTAATATTAATGCCAAAGAATAAAAATAGCATATAAAGCTTTTCAATCTCAAAACCAAGAGTAAAAATAGCTTAACCTTGATGATGGAGGAGTAGGGTGAAAGGTGTTATAAACTGTGAAAAGAAATTTGGAAAGAATGGGGGAAAGTCACAGAATTGAAAAACACTAATAAAATGAGACTAGAAAGTGGATTCTGATCATGAGCTCAGAAGAGCATATTCATTTATCTTCCATTTGAGGTCAATTATTTTGTTAGACTCAGGAATTAAGGCTTAATTTATTAAATACAGAGTACTGCCTTCAGCAATGAATCGTCAGTGATCAATAGTGTGGTCTGGATTTGCAAAGAGCGAAAAGAAAAAAAATCCTCTGGTTCTCATTGCTTTTCAGAGACAACATATGAATGATTTTGTATAGAAATACAATTTTTATTTTATTTATTTCTTTTATTGAAGGTAACATTCCTTTGGCTTTCCCCTGGCTGACATATGAAACAGGAAATAGGGGGCTTATGACCACTCTGCTACCGAACGGTTCAAACTAGACTGCTCACTCCCTGGGTCCTGCGGTTTGTTCCTTCATGCCTAAGGATTCATTATTAAATATAGAAACCAAGTTACCATATGGCAATACATATGGCACAAGAAACATTCCATTCAATTCTGAGTTTAAATGTGTGTCTAAGAGGGTGGCACTGCCTTAAAAGTTTGCTATTAGCTTCACTGGTCCTCAAAAGTCATTATTCCTTGTTCAACATTGTTATACGGTTTAGCGCCCGCATAGTCAAAGTTAATACTGGTATTGAAAGACACTAATGCATCAGGCAATGATGACAAATGTTGCTGCCTTAAGGCACGTTGATCTGAGATCTTATGAAAGATGGGGCCGGGGGCCGTCCACGGTCCTGAGGCAAAACTAATGCCCTCCAAAAATAAGCATGCTCATTTCAGTTTCAGCATGTCCATAGACTCAGACTTCACCCTGCTGAAGGTTGACTCTTTTTTCATTTCATTTTTTATTGTTGTTCAAGTACAGCTGTCTCTGTTTCCCCCCCACAACTCCCCCTGACCCCAGCCATCCCCACCTCTCACCCTTGATCCTACCCCTGTTTGGCCTTGTCCCTGTGTCCTTCATACATGTTCCCTGACAACCCTCCCTCCTTTCCCCCTCAATATCCCCTTCTACCTCCCCTCTGGTTACTGTCAGTTTGTTCTTAATTTCACTGTCTCTGGTTATATTTTGCTTGCCTGTTTGTTTTGTTGATTAGGTTCCACTTACAGGTGAGATCATAGGCCTGGTTAGTACTTGGATGGGAGAAGGTTGCCTCTTTTAACAAAGTATTTTGCACTTGGATGAAAATTGTTTCCCAGCAAACCAAACAAGATGGATATGTGGAAGACAGTTATCAGACCCAGTTTCCTGATGAAGTATTATGCCCGAGCAGCAAAGAGAACAAAATTGAAAAGAAATATAAGGAAAAACATGTCTACGGCTGTAACACTCTAAACATACCTGATCTAATCTGATGTTGGAAGCTAAGGAAGGCCAGGCCTGGTTAGTGCTTGGATGAGAGAAATACAAGGAAAGACAATCTCAATCTATTCCTTCACTTAATCAGAGTGTAGAGCTCACATCGGATAAAGTCTTCAGTCAAAAAAAAAATCTCTTCTGCAAGAAACAGTTTGGCAGAAAAAAAGTTTTGGCTTTTTAAATTTTCCCTAATCACAAAATATACATCAAAAGTGACTGCTTAGGGCTTGGTTATGCTTCACAGAAGCACAAAGGAACTTCTTTCCAGCCAGTGTTAGCCTGTGGGAGGATTTGATTCATCTAGAGGGAAGATCTGGATGCACACATCTGTTGGCTGCGGGGCACACTGACTCAAGTGGGAGAACAATCTTGTAGATAAAAATCACCACCGCTCCAAAAGCACAAAGTCTGTGCAGGCTGCCTGATCACTGGGAGAGGGCTCGCAGGAGCCAAAATAAACTCCTAGGAGCCAAGAGGTGCCCCGGGATATTGGAGAACGGCTTCAAATGAGGCCTCCTAATGAATGGATCAAAATGTAAGAGGCACCCAGAGCCACAGGGAGGTGAGAGAAGGAGGGAAAGAGCAGACTAGAGGTGCTCTAGGAATTTGGAGGCAGTAAAAAAAAAAAAAAAGAGCAAAAGTGTTCCAAGTGTTCCTGATTTTCAATCAAGCTGGAAATGTCTTGTTAATGCTACTATGGACAAACACATTCTGTGGTGGATTGGGTATGGGGATGCTATAGAATTTATGTAGAAATTGCAGCATTTTCCTGTTGTATTTCATGCTCTCTGAAATACTTTCTATTGAAATATCATGTGAAATTAATGTTTCAGGATGATGGTATAAATCCGTGTAATCACGGAACCCAATGAGTAAAGAGCTTTGGCCACTGGTCAGTGGAGCTTATATATCCGTACAAGATCACAGGTAGAACTGCTCCTACCAGGGCGAGGTGGGCGTACTGAATTTGCTTCCCTAAGCCCATGCATTTGTGTGGAGTATTACTTCTCTCTTGATCTCTTTCATTCTACCTTTCCACAACAAAGGCATGATGAATCAGTTCAGTCCACCCAGAACCCAAGCTTTGGGGGGGGAAATAACAGAAAATAAAACACACACACGCGTGCACCCAGAGGAGCTGGCATAGAGGGTAGGATGGTTCAAAGAGCTGATACCCTCTAAGGGAAATGACTCATAGACACCATAAAGCTATCTCCTCGTCCCCACCGTGCCTTTTTCAAGGTTAAATGAGTAGGAGCACCTTTCCTCATTCTGCATACACCTGCCAGCATTCAGGTACATGTTTTGAGATGATTTCTCTTGCCAACAGACTTCTTGCTCCCATGAAAACCTGATACGACTACAAGAAAACACTGAGATAATGAGGGGCACTGGTGGAAAAACAGGTACAGAGCTATTTACTCTCTTTTATGTTAGACGTTGAGGGTGAGAAAACACAGTCTCTCTGTGGCCCATCTCTTCCCACGCCCAGGAGATGAGGCCATGGGAGAAGAGGTGAAGACCGCTGTCACCCAGGGAGTTCTGTCCATACAAAGCCTCACCCTTGCTGAGTCACAGTCATGTGGTATTTTACAGTTGAATGTCAATCCACTACATCCAGGCCTCAGCCTCAGCACTGCTGACATTTGGGTGTGAAAACTCTGTCCTGTGAGGGG